AAAAAACCAGTAAAATAAGAAAAAAAAATATGCTCATAGATCACTATAACGCATAGTTAGAGTACATATGTATGGAGTATACATACATTCGGTACGGTTTGGTAGTTTGGTCAGTACCATATGAACTGTATGGTAATTACTGGTACTGTAATAATAATAAATATAAATTTATGCGTACTATGTATATACATATGTATATCATGTATATATAACCAATTAAATAGTTGAATGATAAATTAATTGACAATCGATATAAGAAAATGCAAATTGCAAATCTAAGCCTTTTTTATCCAACAATTTCTAAGAACTAATAGATTCAAAATTAAAAATCGAAGACAATATATTTGGCACAAGTTCAAGAAATAATGATATTTTAAGTCAACCTGAAGTAATTCTAATATCTGATACAGACAATAAGCCAGTGCTAGTAATTTTTTTATTTTAATAATAATCATAATGATAAATAAATAATGTATAATAATAAGTTTATATTGTATTAAAGAAATCAACATCAAATTCATTTATTCAATATTATGAAGTATTATTTGCATCATTGTCGTGGTTTGATATTTGATCACAATGATTGTTTTAAAAAAAATTAACTAGCGATTTTATAAATAGGATTTTCACATTTCTAGCAGCTTTGAAAGTGAATATAATAGCAATAATAGCTTAAATGATTGTATATCTATGAATAATTTAAACAATAACGATATACTTGAAAATAATTTGAAAAATGATGACAATGATAATGATATACTTGAAAATAGGTTGGAAAATAAAGATAGCTATGAAGTATAATAATTATTTAATTCATTAGTATTAATATATATAATTTATACATATTTATGTAGTAATTAATTATAGTTATTTTAATTATGTAGTATCAACTAACATTTGCCAAATTTGATTGAAAATTAACTGTTAATCAAGTCGAATATTATCTGGAACTTCAGGAATATCCAAAGACTTCTTTAACTAGTATAGCAAGTATTTATAAAGTTTCAGACTGGGACTCCGATGATGCTAAAAACACATTTGGAATTTCTAATCTTCAATATGCTTATGGAAATCCTGGAACTATTTGATCTATTAAAAAGTGTCCATTTTTAGACATACCAGTTCAAAAAACTTATTGATCATGTTATAGTGTAAAAGTGTGTGAATTTGCTTCAACTACTCTTAATATTAAGCACACATCGGTTGATTTTGAAAATTAATTGTATAAAAAAATCTTTGATACAAATGAATTTTCTATTAATACATTCACACTAAAGTAAGTAAATAATGATATTTAAGTTTTTACTATTTTTAATTATAATTTTAGTATGCATGGTCAAGCTCATAATACTCCTTTAATTAAAATTCTTTTATAATTTTAGTACATATGGTCAAGCTCATAATACTCCATACTCATATATTGATCCAATTACTAATATTTATTGTAATAGAGGCCCTGTACTTAAAAAATATAAACAGATATAAAAAAACAATATAGTCTACCCTCATTATAATATACTTTGTTATAGTGAATACCTTATTATAATGAAATAATTCTCAAGTAATTTGCATAAAATTTTAATGCTATAGTAGATATTCATTATGACATCAGGATTTCTCAGCCTGATTACTACAGTATAATGAGAGTAGACCGTATATACAAGTGATTTTGATTCAAGAAAAAGTTTCGATTGTCAAAATATTATATCAAATATTTCTTATATTGAGTTATTTGATTTTAAATTTAGATCAATAATATATTAGCTTTTCAAAAATTTATTGGATATGAAAAATACCAATTTGGTCAAAAAAGACATCATTATATTGCAATTAGTCAGTATGTAGATTTAGAATATCTTGAAAAATTATTTCAAGATTATATTTATTATTCTGACAGAAATAGTCAAAAGGTATAATTAAATATAACATTTATTTAATTTTTTATAAAGATTTAACTTTTTAATATAATTATAGAATTATAAGTCTACCAATGAATGCTTTACGGTTTTTCCTAATTCATCTACAACAAATTATTGTCGTAAGTATTATCTAGATTATGTATTTTATTAGCATTCCTATCTGCAAATTTTTAAAAATAAATAAAAGTTTTTTTGTATATTCTTTTTAACTCCAAGTTCTTCATCACATTAATTTTATTATAATATATCTTTAGAATATATTAAAATTAATTTATTATTTTATTATAATATAATACATAGCATATCTTCACAAAATGGATACTCAAGTTGTAAAAGGAAAATTAATTAATAAAGGCTATTGCCCAGTGAAGTTTTATCATATTTTAC